TCTAGCCTTTTACTGTCTTGCTTCATTTATTTTTGTCTTTCTCTTTAAATAAAAAAAAAAACTTACTGGCTGAGCAAGGAATGGTGAAAATGCCTGTAATGCCTGTACTCAAGTGGCTGAGGCAGCAGGATTCCTGGAGTTCCAGACAAGCCTGCAACATATTCTGAGTTCAGCTCAGGCTCCAATGACACAGCAAGACCCTGAATATAAAATGAAAATGAAAAAATAGGGAAGAAAAGAAAGGAAAGAAGAAACAAAATTCCTAGTGATTTTGTCACTTGGTGTGCATCTGGGCAAGCTGTTTTAGTCTGTGGTCCTTTTCTTCCAGTGTAAAACCCTTTTAACTACTGTTACTTTATAGTACCTGGAAACTAGTATTTTGATGCCTCTACTTTTAATGTTCTTTCTATGGCTATAGGAAGACTCTTTGTACTTCCTTGTGAATTTTCATATTTTTTTTTATGTTTCTAGGAAAATGGCACTGATACTTTGACAGGAATGGCACTGAAACACCTGGTTGCTCTGGGTAGCATGTACATTATAACATGAATTCTTCCCACCCCTCATCACAGTATGGCTTTTCTTCTGTTAGTGCTCTTCTACTTATTGCATTCCAAGAAGATGTGAGTTTGCTTCAGTTTCCCTAATCTTTAGTTATTTTTGATTATTTGTGAAATGAATTGTGTTCTTTGTATTTGACGCTACAATTTGTTTGTAGTACGTAGTAACGAATTGATTAGAGCATGTTGCTCATGTATCCTGCAATTTAAGTGATTTGTGAATTAGTTCTATAAGGTTGTCAATGTAGTTTAAATTTCTTATATACAATGCTGTACCCTCAGGAGAACTGTAACAACAATTAATTCTTCCTTTCTGATTTGGAAGGCTTTGCTTTCTCTTTCTGGATTAAATTCTATGGCCAGGACTTCGAGTACTGTATGGTGAAAAGAGTTGCAAGCCTTGTCTCCTTTCTGACCCTAGAAGCTAAGCTTGCAGCTTGTCAGCACCTGAGCACCATGTCAAGGATGGAGCTTGTCATGCTGTGCTGAGGTCCATTCCTCCTACTGATAGTCTATGAATGATTTATATCATGAAAAAATGGTGAACTTTTGAGGTTCTCAAAGCTGTCTTTCCAAATCTCTTCAGGGGTTAGCTGTACCTTATGCTGTGAAAGTGTGAAGCAACACTTACTAGTTTGTGCGTGAGAGGGAACATTCTTGCACCACTGAGATTGAGCCCAGTGTTGATCGTGTTGGTTAATTTTGAATATGATGGTGAGTTAATGTGGCAAACATTTAGCTGAATACTTTTGTGTATGTTCGTTAGGAATATTAGCCAACAGAGCGTTTTCATTTATTTTATTTTTAACACATTATTATCTGGCTTCATTCTCAGGATGACTTGTCACTTAAAAGAAGTTGGTGGTGGTTTTTTCTTCAACTTGATGGGAGAATTGAAAAGCAATCAGTATTCATTCTTTACCACATCCTGGATAAAATTCACCAGTGCACTTATTGTATCCTAGCTTTGTTGTTGTTATTAAGCAGCTGTGATGTTTACCCTGTGCTCCTTATTGCTCTGTTCATCAGACTGTTTCCTTCTGATGCGTGTAGTTTGGGGACATCAATGGACACCACATATCCTTTAAGGGTCACATCTCATTTTATTTATGGATGTTACCATTTACTTTTGTATATTCAAACTACCTCCATAATATATAATTTTGTGAGTAACTCCTTTTAGTTACTCAGTTTTTAATGCACACTCTTGCAGGGTTTGGTTACTGCTGGAGGAAAGTGGGGCTGGTGAGGGCCTGGTCTCTTATTTAAGGCTTTGTACCCTGACCTGCCTGCAGTGCCTCCATCACCTCGCCTGCACCCTGTAAACACCTGTCCTGTTCCATAGCTATGGTGAGTCCACATGTGGCAGTTCAGATCTGCACCTGGGTGGAAAATATTCAGTCAATTTGAGCTCTGTAACAGACTGACCTTCTCATGCAGAGCTCCCCTGAGTGAGACAGGGGGCCTTAGGCATGTAGGAAGGAGCTCTAGAACCATTTCAGCTTTTTCCTTTCCAGTGTGGAATGTGTGACGCTTTCCTTAGAACTCACTGATGGATGAGGCAGCCTGGACTGGGCCTTTTTTAGCCATGGTTCCTGCTAGGTGCCATGGTGTCCTGCACCTCTGCCTGGACCATCTCTCTGACTTTACATCTCCACGTAGATCTGAGCAGACTCAGTCTTCCTATACCAGGCTCTAGCTCTATGCTGAGGCTTCAGGTGAAATATCTGCAATCCTCAAATTCATCTTATATACATTTAACCTGGAAATTCCACTTTAAGGTTCATTTTAAAAAATGAGTTTGATAGACACCATATTCTCTTCTTAATCAGTTAAGGTGTGGACAGTTAGGAACCATGAATGTTCCACAGCACAATTGCTGAGTTTTTTATAAATGGCAGCCACTGAAAATGCTGAAAGTAGGCCATGTCCCTGATCTTTCCTGAGATTGAAGAGAGCTTGTGTCCTGGTTCTCTCTCCACCCAGCAGTGAAGAGACACAGGCCTGCACATCAAGTGAGGACAGGAGAGAGGAGCTGGTCAATGGCAGACCTCTCATCCTGGGAGGGATGCCTGTGTGGTTTTTCCCTTTTATTTTCCACTGCATTATTTATAGTGTTCCAGTCAATATTACTTCTCTCCTGTTCAATTCACTTAAGAATAAATAGTTGGTATTTTCTTGAATAGGTGAGTGGAAATGGATGACTTAATACTCTTTTATATGTAATGTAGGATACGAATATAGATGAACATTGCATGGATCAGAGGAGCGTGGAAAGGATGTGCAAGTCACTGACAGAATGCAGGAAGCCAATAGCAGGACATGCAACAGAGAGGGTCTTCACTGAAATTCAGGTAGTTCTTAGAGTAAGTGTGAAGTTAAAGTTGGGTTCTGATTGCTTCCTTGATGTGATCAACACCAGCTCTGGCAAAAATCAGTGTTTCACATCCTTGTCAACCCATGCATTTTCTATTCCACACTTGAGATCTAATTTTGATAATCTCTAATTATGCCCCAGTGCTATGAAGGTAAAATGTGGATTTTTTTTGTACCAAAAATTGAACTCATGACCTATGCTTTCCAGGCAGGTGTTCATGCCACTGAGCTAAATACCCAACTATGAAAGTGTTTTCTTTGTTGTATGGCAGATATCCACATTGTTTCTCAGAAAGTGTTGAATATTTTTGGAATTTTTCCATATTGTATGGCTATAATTTTTAAAAACAAATCAAAGGTGTCTTATGCAGTCTCTTTTCAAGTTTCACTTTGTTTGTGGGGTGTCACAGTCAGGGTTTCTCTATGTTAGACAGCTCTGTAACTTAGGATAGCCCCAAATTCAAGGAAGAAGTCCTTCACCAGCCTCACAAGATATATTCCTTATATCTGAATTGATAGTGAATGCTTGGTGACAGTGAGCTATAAATTACAGCTTGGGCCTGTTTCCATTTTATATAGTTATTTTTTAAAAACAGCATTTTCCACTAACATTTATTATTTGTGTACCATATTGGATGTTATTTATGTTTTGTTCTATGAAACCAAATTCATGTTTCAAAATGCTGCTGAAGTATATTAAGAACAAAGTACTCACTGGCCTAAATGAGATTAGAAGAGACATTATCTGCAGCCTATCACAGTGATTGATGAGATTTTTTTTTCTTTTTTTAAATTTTGAAAGTGGTAAAATACAACAGAACAAGGCAGAATAAGGCCAACTAAGATCATATAGTGAAAATGGTACACAACTTCACAACTGGTTACTGCGATAACAATAATAGATATCACAGTATATTTTATTATCTTTATAATAGTTGTTCTTTCTTTCTTTTTTTTTTTTTTCCTTTTTATCAGTACCGGGGATCGAATCTATGACTGTCTGCTTGCGAGGCAGGTGCTTATGCCGCAGAGCTAAATCCCCAGGCCCAATAGTTGTTCTTTCAAACACATATATCAAAATGAGATGAAATACAGAACATTATAGTACTTATCAAAAAATATTGAATAGAGCAATACCATTACTCAGAATAGAGCAAAACTGCAACAAATACATTTGCCTTCAAAGAGATAGTAGAAGGAAATCCCCCTTATTTGTTATGGTCTGCTTCCCAGGAGACTCTCAGATTTCTGTTTCCCATTTGCTAATGAGGGGGGGGGTGACAGGAGAAGAGGGGTAGGGAAGTGGGATGTTTGATTCTAGGCCGTGCATCTGTAGGTTCACTATTGCTTAGTAGGGAGACAGGCCAGTTGTTTGGTTTCACAGCATCCTAAGTTCCCACATGGCGTGGGTCTCAGGAGCTGCTGCTGGTTCTCCTCCTGGAAGGGCCACATTCTGCCAGACTGCCACTGATTACCAGGGAGAAGTGGTGCTTGCTTGGCTTCCCAGTTGATTGATGGGATATTTATCTGCCTCTGTGCTTTGTGGATGCTGGTCCTACAGGCTTCTCACTGTGAGCTCTGCATTAGAGACAGAACACAGGGACTATTGCAGTGACTCAGCATAAGAATCAGTGCTCCTATTTCACTCTTACATTAGCAGTGAGTTGCAATCTATCATCAAATTTGCTGTCTTCAAAAATGTGTATATACACAAAATTAATGACCAAGACATGATTTAAATTTGAAGACATCAGTCTTCATTCAGCTGTTTTGTTTGGTTGTATTTGTTTAGTTTAGTTTTGTTTTATTGAGACAAGCTTTCTATATGTATATCAGCTGGATTTGAACACTCTATGGAGGCTAGAATTGCCCTGAACTCACTGAAACCATCCTGCCTCAGCATTTTGAGTGCTGGAATTATAGATATATATCACCACACTTTGCTTTTGATTCAGATTTGTAGGAGAGAATTTAAGATATCCCAAACCTGGTGTCTCAACCTTCCTGTGAGAAATATATGTATGATCGATCCTTTAGGAGGTGGTGACCTTTGAGGATGTGGTTGTGAACTTCAGCAATGAGGAGTGGACTTTGCTGAGTCCATCCCAAAAGAATCTCTACAGATATGTGATGGGCGAAACCTTTAGGAACATGACTGCAATAGGTAAGGACAAAATACTTTTGTCATTGATGCTGTCAGAATATTCTATGTCGCTCATCAGTTCTGTTTCATTAAAAACAATGTGAAAATATTTTTAAAAATAGCTCAGACCTGGACACATTAAATCATAACTCTAAACAAAATCTATTGATTTGTGTATATTATTCTAATGAGTGCTGGTATTTGTATGTCTACAATTCAGGAGGACTTGGGGATATCCAGGAAGCTGAAAAAGAATGCAAAATTTACTGGAGATACTTAAGGTAATTTGCACTCATAAGAAGAAGGAATGTTCCTGAGTAATTAGTGAGTCAGCAGAAAAATGCCGCCAAAGAAATGAGGCAATATTCAATTTATGTCAGTAATATTCTCTGAAGACGTATAAGCTAGGGTATGTATAATGAGTGGATTAAATCAAGAAAATGTATGACATTGCATATAGATGTTTATGAAAGGCATACACTTTGAGTTATGACATTCTCTCTTCAGTTTTTCTACCCATATATACATGTGAATACAACACATTCATCATCTAAAAATTGCTAAGATTGCAATAGAATTTGAAATAAAATGGAGTTCTTGTGTTTCCAAGCCATGCTCTAAAGAATCAGCCGTTCTGACTAAAATTCTTAGAAGGCTAGTGGAATGTTAAGTGCACTCATTCTGAATATCAGTGTGCAGTTGTCTCTAGAAATTGATCTCCTCATACTTGTTCTGGATATATTTTAAAAATTCAAAATGCACTTAAAGTACTGATACATGCTTGCTCATATACAAAGCAGATCAAGTTATAATAGATCAGGCCTTGAAGAAGCTTAGCTATCTATCACTGGATTTGTGGAGAAGGAAAATATTAATAGACTCTCTGTGATTGTGCATACCTGTAAATGCAGCACACAAGCAATCAGATTTTGCAGAATGGCAAATTCAAGTTCAAACTTCACAGCTTAATGATCAGTGAAAATGTCTTAAAACAGATTTAAAAAGGTATAGATTTTATGCTAATAGCTGTCGTTCATTCCCAGCATGGAAAAGAAAAAAATGTGTTATATAATGTCAAAAAATAAATAATATAATGTCATTTTTCATAAGAAATAGGTGGTTTTTTGTCCCATCAATTTGGTGAAATAGCTCAGCTATAAAACCTAAAAGTTCACAGGGTTTCTTTTAGATGAGAAACCAAAATATAAATTGTGGGATGAAATGAAAGAGTTAATAGAGAAAAGTAAGACTGACCATATGGAAAAGGGAACTACAGGTTAAGGACAGAAGGGAGATTGTGATGGGCAAACATATCAGAATGATCTGTATGTGATACACATATGTACCCATGCCCAAAGTCAAGATAAGGATTCTGCATTTCAAAAGGTATCAAATTTTAAGATTTCCAAATGTGTAGCATTCTTTTGGGAATGGTTGTTTTCAACATGTCTTACAAGGCCATTCTGTTATTTCATGGTCAGAATTTCTTAGCAGGCATTAAAAACAAAACTTGACATTAATGCAGTCATTAAACTGAGACCCATTTCACTGTGAATGTTTCTTATTTTTTTATTTAATGTAAGGAAAAACTAAAAAAAAAACAAAATAAGTAGAAATGATACCACTTTCAAAGTGAAAATAAACAGTAAGAAATCTAAAGACAATGATTACATATGCTGCTCAGAGAAATAATGAAATACAAAAGTGAAGCATATGAAGTGGGGATTCAAACAGCGAGTCTGCAAAAAATTTTGTTCAAATCTCCAATAAAAACTTAGTAATATGGTTATCAATCTGATATGTGATTGTTTTTGACAGAAATGACAAGCTAGGGCAATCCTATGGACATACATCTTGGAATCAGTGTAAAGAAGTATTCCTTTGTACTGCAGAAGGTAATGTGAATGTGAAAGAAGCAGAAACACACCACAATGTTCAGATCCATGAAAAATATAGCAGTGAGGAGAAATCCTATGTATGTCAGCAATGTGGAAAAGGGTTCACCAAATCTGGACATTGTAAGCAACATGAAATAATTCACACTGGAGTGAAACCATATGTATGTAAGAAATGTGGGAAAGCTTTTAACACACGGGCAAAATATAAAATACATGAAAGAATTCACACTGCAGAGAAACCCTATGTATGTAAGCAATGTGGGAAAGGTTTTACCCAACATGGAGCTTGTGAGCAACATGAAAGAATTCACACTGGAGAGAAACCATATGTATGTGAGCAATGTGGGAAAGCTTTTAAAACACAGGCATGTTGCAAGGTTCATGTAAGAATGCACACTGGAGTGAGACCATATGTATGTAAGCAATGTGGGAAAGGTTTTGCCCAGTATGGAAATTGTAAGCAACATGAAATAATTCACACTGGAGAGAAACCGTATGTATGTAAGCAATGTGGGAAAGCTTTTAACACACGGGGATATTTTAAGAAGCATGAAAGAATTCATACTGGAGAGAAACCCTATGTATGTAAGCAATGTGGGAAAGGTTTTAACATATACAGACAGTATAAGGAACATGAAAGAATTCACACTGGTGAGAAACCATATGTATGTAAGCAATGTGGGAAAGCTTTTACCCGACATAGACATTGTAAGCGACATGAAAGAATCCACACTGGAGAGAAACCCTATATATGTAAGCAATGTGAGAAAGCTTTTAACACACAGGCAGATTGTAAAAGACATGAAAGAATTCACACTGGAGAGAAACCCTATGTATGTAAGCAATGTGGGAAAGCTTTTACCACACATAGATATTGTAAGGAACATGAAAGAATTCACACTGGAGAGAAACCCTATGTATGTAAGCAATGTGGGAAAGCTTTTAACACACATCGACAGTGTAAGGAACATGAAAGAATTCACACTGACCAGAAACCATATGTATGTAAGAAATGTGGGAAAGCTTTTACCCTATATAGACATTGTAAGCAACATGAAAGAGTTCACACTGGAGAGAAACCCTATATATGTAAAGCCTATATATGAAAGCTTTTACCCAACGTGGACATTGTAAGCAACATGAAAGTTCACACTCAAGTTAAAACCAGTGTATATAAGCATCATGAGAATTTTTTCAGCACAAGTACATATTGCATAATGCATGAAAAGCTTCACACTCGGCATAAATCTTATATATGTACTGAATTTGGGAAAGGTTTCAGCAGAAATGCTCATTGTCCAATAAATGAAATATTTACACTGTTGAGAAACCCTGTTTATGTGAAGAATGTGGGAAAGCTTTCACCACACATGGATTTTGTAAAATACATCAATGACTCCACACTGGTGAGAAACCCTATGCATATAACAATGTGGCAAAGCTTTTAACACATACAGTCATTGGAAAACACATGAAACAATTCACATTGGGATGGCTACATAAGCAAGTGGAGACATTTTCAGCAGCCAGATTGTAAGTGAAATACATGAAGAAAATCACACAAGAGATAAATCCTATATGTTATGTGAATACTCAGCACACCTGATCACTGTTACATATCTGAAAGAGCTCACTGGATCCTATGTGTATTAACAGTGTGAGAAATACGGCAATCCATGTTTATTGTTAAATACATAGAAGAAGCAGCACTCTTCAGACAGTTTAGATCTAAGTTTACTTTAAAAGTTCCAAGAAGACCTGAAGAAATAATCAATACAGTAGTTTGATGTCAATATTTCTTCACAAATTTTCCAGAAACAACAAATCTGAAGTGGAGCTCTACTCAAGTACACATTTTGTATGGTTTTCAGTTAATCACTTATACCTCTTTATTTTTTAATGTGTCTTTGTGCTTCAACATGGCATCTTGTAATTAAACATGGTAAATGAAATAGGCTTTTCACTTTCAAGTATGGATAGTGTCTATGTACTTAATATTTTGTCTTTAAAACTTAATTTTATATTTTTGGTGAATTATTTTTATTAAAAAAACCCAAAAATGTATAGAAATAATACAGAATTTCTGAAAAATAAACAATAAGAAGTCACTAGTTGATTTGTTACATATTGTCATCTTAGAAGTAATTGTTCAAGTTACAAAATTAAGCATAGAATGTGATACTCAAATAATGACACTGCGAACATTTTACCTCAGTGATCCAACAAAAACTTATTAATATGCTTATATGTTGTACAAACTTGTTTTTTATCTTAAAGATCGTAAGATTAAACATGACAAAACAAAACAGAACAGTTCATAAGGAAACAAGTTAAGGAAACACAGGTTTCAAAGCAAGTCCACTGAGATGTTCATTGTCTATCTTACTGTCGCTAGTTTTTTTCCAAATAGTTGTTCCCATCTTCACAAGCATTGAATATATACTTAACATTATAGAACTAATCAAATAATTACAGGATGATGCAGGCTTTTTTGATCTTCAAGACTGATTTTGGGGAAGTTGATGATTACCATAATGTGTCTCATTCTCTTCGTATTAGATGTCTTTATTTTAATGTATGCTGAAACTGAACATAAGAGACTAAACTAATATACTCTGAACAGTGAATAATAGTATCCTGAGAAGGAGAAAGGTGAGGAATTGCCTAAAAAAAGAAGGCAGAGGACATTGTTAAAAGTGTATCAGGATTTAAAAGCTATAGTAGTTCTGTTGCTCTGTTTATTTTGATTATATTTTGTTCTGGTCTGTGTACTCATAATAGATTTGAGGGCACAAAGATGTAACCCAAAAATAGCAGGTTAAACCATGATGGTAACTGTCCTTAATTTCCTATTAACTGAAACTGAAACCCTGTATTACTTACATTGTCTTACTATGACTGATCTTATTGGAAGCTGGTTTGTTTGAATGTTATTTGGCCTTGACTGATTTTATTCACATTTTTTATGCTTGCTGGCATCAAGTCCAAGAGTGGAGAGGCCACTTCTCTGAAGATGATAAGATGTGAAAGATATATATTGGCTGGCTGGGGATTTAGCTCAGTGGCTTAAGTTCCTGCCTGGCAAGTGTAAAGTAATCCGTTTGATCCCCAGTACCAAAAAATAAATAAAAGATATAAATTCCAGTTTAATTTTTTTAAAGAGAAAAAAAGAACATAAGAAACAAAGCAGTAAAGGGTACAAATCATGCACAATTTCAAGAAAAAAATACAGTAAGAAATCACTAGTTAATAGGTTACATATTGTCTTCTTAGAAACAATTGTTCAAATTATAAAATTAAAGCATATAAAGTAAACATTCCTACAGTGTGATTGCAGAGAGTTCCGTTCAGTGATCCAACAAAGCTCAGTAATATGTTTTTCTCCCTACACACTTAAACAGGCACTTATATCTCTTAGACCACCTTCCTTTCCTGTCTTCTTCACAATAACAATTACACTTTTGAGGTTTTTTTACTCCCATATTTCTTATTACTTTTTTTGAAGAGAATAAAACCTCAAGTGAGTTAACAAAACAGAGTTGGTTAGAACATAATGATGGGCATAGTACTTGATGCAAAAATAGAATATCAGCTGATCAAAAATGTTTACCATTGTGCCTTTTGCTATTTTTAAAAAGAATTGCTATATCATCAGGTATAATAGAATTGATCAAAACAGTACAGAACAAGACCAATAAAATCTACACTGAAGACCTCATAGGATTTCAAAAGAGGATAATAGTCAAGCCATAATGGGCATCATAGTAAATCTTATTGCCTACAACGTGGTTGCCTATACCCTCAAACGTGATACTATCAAACAAAATAGAATATAGTAAAATCAGGCAGAACAAGACGGGGAGAGCAATACTGGGGTTAAAAATCAGGTTAGTAGGAAAACAAAACAGTTTCTATAATATATCCCTCAATTTTTTAATTTAGTTTTCCTTTAAAAAAATAGAATTTTTTTTAAAAAAAGGGTGGAGATCGAGATAGAAGAGACATTGTACTAGAACAACACAGGTCAGAACAGAACAATTAAAGCATTTTGTTTTACCACCAGATAATCTAACATAATAGTAGTCACCATAGTGCCTCTTTCCTTGAATTGTTTGAGTATAACTTCGTATACTATAGAATCAATCATATCAAGACAGTGTGAAGCCATTCAAGAGAATGAAAAACTTACAGCGTATTTAGAGCCAATTAACAAAATGAACAAAGTGAAGAAGACAAATAGACAACTGATGACAGAAAAATAGAACAACAGAAATGAGACAGAGAAGGTTCGATATAATTTCTAATGCAGATGTCCTATATACACTAAATTAAGGAAAAAAAGAGAGAATCACAGGCAGAGTGGATCAAGAAATAGGGCCAACTGAGATGCTCTTTATAGGAAGTATAATTGACCTGAAGAAGGGTATTTCGACCAAAATTGAATATGAGAACATAGAACTCGATGTGATAGGGAATGAGAGAGTAATAGGGGCAACTGGACCAGTATTTATGGGTAGGTTGGAAAGAAAGGCTTTAATAAGTAAAGAAATATAACTAGAGATCAAGTCCTGGAGTGAGAAAGTTCAGAAACACTTAGATAAATTGCAGGTTGCCCACACAATATAAAACCAAGGGTGTTGGGGAGACCCAAAAATACACAGTACATCCTGGGGGAGTGAAGGGGAAGAATAGACTTTAAAAAGACAGAAGAAGATATTGCTATAAGTGTATCAGGAATTAAAACCCGTATTACTTGTACCACTCTGTTTAGATAGAACTTATTCCATCCCAGTTTTTATACAAGCACTAAATCTGAGGGCACAGACAGCTATCCCAAAAATATCAGGATATACCACATTAATCATCTTCAATTTCCTGTTAACTTAAACCAGATTCCTCTATAACTTATACTGTTATATCATTGCTGAATTTATTTAAATCTGATTTGTTTGATTGCTTCTTGTTATTGACTATTTATTCAAAACCGTTAGGTTGATAGTATCGTCAGAGTGTAGACAATTATACTGAAAATAGAAATGACTCTCTATATTACCCATTCTGACTTGATTAATATCTGTTTTAGTAGCTCTACACTATCTACAAAGTTCTATTTCTGTTAATACTGTTATGCAGTGATATATTCAATTATACTTTATCCGATGATATAGCCATTTTTATTGATGATAACAAGAGACAACACAGTAACCATGGTAGAACTCCCTGTACAGCAGTTTTATATGTCTTTTTAGTTTTATGTATCTCTAGGATTATGTTTTGCTCTGTCCTGCTTTGTTCTGGTTCTCCCTCTAATATAGAAAGAATAGTAACACATGTTAAGATGCATGCTTCCATAAAACCTATCAATAATTTAGAAGAACTGATTTTATGATACATGATGAAATGAACAAATACTTTGAAGGAGAAAAAAGGGGGCTACAGTACCCAGGGCTGGTTCCATCGTGTCATGATGTGAAATCAAGCAATACTATTAATCTTCAACTAGAGTGATTTTAATCTTCTTTGCTTTGTTTAAACTCAACATAAATGAAGATATGGATAAATACATACATGATTAAGTGTATAGGATTGACTGCCATATTACTTAGTTTTTATTAGATAGTTGAACAGAACTACTTGAAGTCTCCCTGTTTGAATTCCCATTTATATGGTCCACTTTTGTATCTTGAACAATTATTTGAAAGAGGACAATAAAACACACAAAGTAGTGACTTATTACTGTTTATTCTTTAATTTGAATGTATGTATTATTTATGCCTGCTTTCTGTTTTGTTTTGTCTTTCTTTAAATAAAAATAAATTTAAAAATATAAATAAATAAAGTCCCTTAGCAGTTAGATTGGTGGACCAAGCTCTGATTGATAAATAAGAAAGCAGCTGTCTGCTAACATTTTTAACCAGTTTTTATCCATTGATTAGAGACCTCAATGATCTCCAGATCACTATAGGAGACACCTCAAATAAATTTATGAAATTTATTCCTAAATGTTCACATTGGTCATTATCAAATGAAGTAATACATATTTTTGGTTTGATGATGCCTGTATAAAGGTTTCACATGGTTATGACAGTTGATTTTAATCAACTATATGATGTATTGCATATATTCATAATTCTGGATGCGTAAGACTCCATGATTGTAAAATTGGGATTACTTATGGTAACAGATTTTTGTCTCATGTGCACACCTTTGCTGCTCACAAAGACTTGTGAGATTCACATTGAACTAAAGATCAATAAGTTTTTCAATAATATACAACAAACTTCTTTTGTATTAGATAAGGGTGATTGACTAAAAGGGATAATTTATGTCAAACAAGAATTTAGATTATTACAAGAATTTCGAGATTGTCATGATGCAATACTATGTACGCTTCTGATTCCTGATATATTATGTAAAATATGCAACTGTTAATACTGTAGGTATTCAAATGCTAAAATGTCCATGGATTGAAGACAATAGGATTCATTTAATGTTCTAAGATGTTTCATGTTTAGATAAAATAGTAATATTACACTTACTGCCTCTAATATACTGTATTGTTATGAAAAACTTTTTTTGGATGTTTGACAGCTAAGGTTTGGAAGCCAAAACTTAGAGAAACAGATGAGCTAAATGGATAGCCAATATTTTGGCCCCAGCCCTTCAAGGGTGGTGGAGACCCAGGATATAAAATAATCTCTGATTGCAGCATCCTAAGATATTCAGTGAGCCCCTAGTTGTCTCATCAAGGATATGATGAAACCACAGAGGAAAGTCACCTTCAATGCAAGGTGTGCCTAAGAAGAGTCACAGGAGAAAAATCTCCCAAGCTTTCACAGAGAGCAACGTGGTGAAGCAATGATTGTGACTCTTCTAAGTGGCAGACACTGACAGAAGAGCCATGAGGTGTTATGCATGGTTCTAAGATAACTCCTGAGAAGACCTAAGTGACCTTGAAGGAAGGTCTTTTGGCAACTCTTGGAGGTGGACTAAATGTCTTTTGCATAATGGATGTATATGAGTCGTGGGGGCCAGGGGTGGAATGTCATGGTTTATGCCTGTGTCCCCCAGGCCTCATGAGTTTGCATTGTGCATTTATGATGGTTCGTTGTCTAGTGTTCGGATTGATGGTGTCAGTCCTAAACCCACATTGGGTGGAGCCAGGATGTAATTCAATGGCAGGAAGAAGGTGTATCTTGCTTTTTGCTGGTTCCTGTGTGCTTTTTGCAGCTTCCATGAACTGTGGCCCAGCCATACCTGCCTGCCTTGGAGCCAACGGAGTGTGAACTGAAACCTGCAAAAACTGTAAGAAATAAATCTTTCCTTTCTGAAATTGGGCTTCAGGTATTTTGTCTCAGCAACAAGTAAAAAGTAATTAAGACAGAATTTGGTACCTAGGATTGGGGTCTTTTGCTGTGACTATTCTTGACCATGTTTTTCGAGAGGCTTTGGAAATGGCTTGTGGGCAGAGTTTGGAAAGGTTTGGACATGTCACCTGGATGCGTAGAGCTGGAGCAGCTTAGGCTGTTCTGTAGAGGGGATTCTGGTCAGACCTCAGGAGACCAGAAGGCTGATAGAAGGCTTGATGATAAAAACCAGGCTTGGGAGTTTTCTGTTGGGAAGAAGGACTGCATTGGTTGTTGGACTCGACAATGTGTGTGTTATGGCTTGGCAGAAGGTTTGTCTGCATTTTGCTACTGCCCAGAGACTTTGCTGAGACTGAGACAAAGGGCAATGGACTGATTAATCTTGGTAAAGAAACTAAAAAGCAATCAAACCTTGAGGCTGTGGCATGGCTATTGTTGGGGGCTTTTAGCCAGATTTATGTTGCATTTCTAAAGCAAAGAGATCAGCAGGATAGTGTACAATGCTGTGAGTTTGGCCAGAAGGAAAATTCCAGGAAGACTGTGGATTGCAAAGACAGAGTTGAGATTTTGATTCCTGAGGAGAAACAGAGAGATAAGAAAGATGGCCCACGGCATCATAGGAAGGGGGTCCCCACCCTGTGCAGCCTCACTGCAAAAGTGAAAGAATTTGCTCAGAGGGAAAAGCTGCAGAGTGCCATGTTGTAGAATGTCAACAGAAGCCACTTGAGGTTCCAGAATGATGGCCCCTTTGAGAAGCTTTTCCTCACAATCATGTGAACAGAGCACTGCAATCCAGGCAACTAACCCCTATAGCCAATAGGCAGAAAAGTATAGGTACTGCTCCAGTCAGCAGCAAACCTTGGTGGCATCCACAAGGTGCTGATTTTAGGTGCAAGGAAAATGCACAAATTCTGAGGCAAGATGGCATCCACCTCAATTGCAAAGTGCCTGGGAGGCCAAAAGGTGTGCCCCTGAGAGGGCAATTTGTGAAGACGTAAGGGTGAAACCAAAGGTGCGGTGGAGACTGCAGATGTTTGGAAAAGGCAAGAATGTGTTTGATTCAAGGGAAGCTGCAAAAAGAGAGCAGAGAAGATTTAAGAGAAAAGCTGCTGGAGTTAAAATTGCTGGAAATGCCACGGGGGTGGAATTACCCAAGCCTTTTGGAGTTTGGAACCAGATTGCTTCTGATGCTGAACATGGAATTCTAGGACTTAATGTTCACCCTGCTGGACTTCTTTTGTTTCCAGTACTTTATATTCCCATTCTTGTAACTTTTGGAATGGTAATGTTTACCTTGTGCCTTTGCATTTGGGAAATGTTTAACCTTGTTTGATTTGTACAGGGGTTATGGTTAAGAGTTTGCCTTAGATCTTGGAGGAGACTTGGTAATTGGACTGTTCAGGAATACCGAAACATAGGACATTGGCAACTCTTGGAAGTGGACTAAATGCCTTTTGTATAATGGATATACATGAGTCCTGGGGGCCAGGGGTGGAATGTCATGGTTTATGCCTGTGTGCCCCAGGCTTCATGAGTTTGCATTATGCATTTGTGATGGTTCATGGTGTAGTACGTGGATTGATGGTGTTAGTGCTACACCCACATAGGGGTGGAGCCAGGATGTAATATAATGGCAGGAAAAATGTGTGTCTTGGTTTTTGCTGGTTCCTGCTTGCTGTTTGCTGCTGCCATGAAATGTGGCCCAGCCATGTACACCTGCCTTGGAACCAACTGAGTGTGGACTGAAACCTCCAAAAAATGAAGAAATAAACCTTTCCTTTCTCAACTTGGGCTTCACGTATTTTGTCTCAGAAACAAGTAAAAAATAACTAAGACAGTAGTTAATGCAGGTCTCATGTTAGCTTGGCCTTGGACATCCTGAAGAAGAGTCTGGCCTCTGAAGGTATAGTGCAATGTAAAAGCTTGACTGAGGGGGGAGCTAGGATTGCTAACATCCTCTGACAATTGCTGGCTATTCTGGTAAATAAGTGCTGTTATGAACTGATGGACTATGAAGAGTTTAAATTGGAGTTCTCCTCAATGCTTCCCCACCTTAAGCTGGCCACGCATCCTGGGAGTCAACAAAACAAAATAAGAGAGAGTTGTTGGAAAGGGTTGAAGATGAATACATGTGCAGGGCCGTGGTGTGGCCTGGGCATGATTGAATTGAGAATGAGGAGACACCGCAAGGAACAAATAGGCCACAGCTGAGGCCACCTAGACTTCCTGAATAATTTTTCTTAATTAGAATCATCTGTTGCTCTGTGGGTTCCTTGAACCTCTCCCAGGGGCCTGCTCAGCTTTTTACCATTGTCCACTCACTTCCTTGCTTGTTCTGATTAAATATGGGCTGCCTAGTGACAGGTGGCTGGCTGCTTAGCAGAGTTATGAGTTCTGAAGATTTCACTCTTCCTGTTGCCCTCATGACAATGCCACTTTTCTCATTCTTTTGGTCCTTTGCTGTGTACTTTTTTGGGGGCTAGGTATTTAGGCATAGGCTCGAATAAAAACTTACCTTCCAGCTGTAAGTTTCCTGAAAATTTTGTTGCATGTAAATTTTCTTTACCTGTAGATGGAAGTGTTATTATCAACAAATATATTGCTAACTTATCAACATATGCTACCTTTTTTAACATATCGAGGCGTATTATAGTGATTTCTCAGAAGGCATGATTATACACCTCTTTACATCATTGTGAGTATTCTGCATAACTTTTCTAAGTCAGTACTTATAAGTGAAATTGGTAGATAATTACGGAGGCCTCCATCAACTTGCTAAGTACTATGTAACATGAGTCTCGGTGTTTCTAGCAGTTCATTTGTTTTTAACCAAGAATTCCTGACCAGATGCCAGTTATGCCTGCTTGGCACAGAATGGATTGTACAGGAAATTAAGTGGTTTTGATCTTCAAAGAATTGCTGGAGTCAAACTGAAACAGGTAAATGCTAAAAAACTGTTAGGGTTTACATAGATTAAAAACTCATTTACATAATTAGTTGAAGAATGAGTTGATGCATTTGGAAGATTATTCAGAACATACAGCTAGCTGAATTGTATTAGATATTTATTTCTTTACTTTTATACAGGTACAAAATACCTGACTTATAGAATTTAATATAAATATATTCTTTATCTCATGGTTTCCATGAGGGTTGTTTGATTTTGACTGTTTCCAAAGCATAAATATCTTGGAAAAAAGTGAAAAGGAAAAAGTAAGTTTTTTATTACATGAAGGAGCCAGAGAACAGTTTCAGAACCTGAAAGAAGGATCCAGAGACCAGATTTCGTTCATGGGTTCTAACACACATGGCTGCAGTTTATACATATAGAAGCAATCATAGTAATCTCCTACACATTTCTGAAGCCCAAAGGTGTTAACAAATGGATCACCAGGCTTTAGGGAATATATGACTTCTAGGAGTATTAAAATCCTGAAGAGTGTTATACTGAGATGCTAAAAATTAAAATAATTGATTAAAAGATAATTAACAAAAATAGTTACTTAAAAAGATAGTTATTAGTAATATTATCATTCTACTGAGCTCATTGCCCTAGTAATCAAGCACCAACCACATAGGTATAAATTAACTGACCACGTCATTCTGCTGTTCTGTAATGCGTCATCCCCCGCCACCTTAGTGACCTGTGTGCTATGTCAAATTTTGTTCCCCTTGTAAGAGACAAATGATGCTGTGCCAATCACTGTTCCCTTTATGAGAGACAAATGTTCCTGGAATTGGCAGACCAAGGGCTATGAATTGGCCAACCACCCACTGCGAAATGCCTCTGTCCTCAAGCAAAGGGGAACAAAGGCCCACCTTATTTCTGTTTCTCATCACAATGTACTTACTGATCAATGAGCTAATCATAAATGAACTATAAAAATCAGTCAAAACTCTAACTCAGTTGCACAGCTTTGCAAATTCCATTTGCACTGTGTCGCTGGGCACACAGTGCAAATAAAAGTGCTTCTTTTAAAAAAGATGTCTTGTCCCATTCGTCATCTTGGGGTCTTGCCCCGTTTTTTCATCATGGGGCCATGTTTTTTTTTTTTTTAAAGTAGAGTACAAAAATTGCTGAGTGCCAATTAGTGACAAGGGAACTATATGGCAAGGGGAACTTTGAGTGTCAAGTCCTTGGGTGTCCCTGCCTCACCAGAAGGAAATGTTTAATTGGATTAGGTTCCATTTCAGCAATAATTGTCACCCCCATGCTTGGCAATATGATCACTTTCAGAATTCAGCATTTTTTTGAGCCTGAATAAGTAGCAAGCTTGTCTTGGATTACTGATGCTTGCTTTTATTTCATCCTTACACTGTTGCAGACCATTACTATCATTTAAATGTAATGTCTTCACTATACATGGTAACTGTGCTCCTTTAGTGTTAACATACTGGCTTTCTTGGTGGAAAATTAATAGAAATGAGTGAAAATCATGAAAATGAAGTCTGATACCTCTAACAGAAACTTCCAACTCTGTGTTCTGTTGTGTCCTGCCCTGGCCTTTTCTCAGAATATTTTCTGACATCAGTGGACTTTTATTCCTGGAGGATTGAACGTGAATCCTGAAAACATTTGCAGCCCATTATGCAAAGAGTCCACTGATCCTTGAAAGAAAGCAGGGTAGCCATGAAATGGCAGGGATAAATAAAAAATTAGAGAAGACCTAACACCATCACTTCTCAAAATTTAATGAAATCAAATGGGAAATTGTACTTCTCAGTTCATTCCTGGAAGCAAGCATTACCCTGATACCAAAACCAGAGAACAATCCAAATAAGAAAGACAATTACAGACCATTCTGCCTAGTGAACCTTGAAGCAAAAATCCCCAATAAGATACTGGCAAACAGACTGCAGAATATCATCAAGAAGGTTTTACATCACGATCAACTGGAATTATTCCGTGGTACTCAGGGGTGGTTCAACTTACATAAATCCATACATATAATACACCGTATTGACAAATCCAAAAGCAAAACTCATTTGATCACTTCAATAGATGCAGAAAAAGATTTTGACAAAGTGCATCACCTATTCATAATAAAAAACCTACAAAAATTGGGGAGATGATCTTTATCTCAATCTGATAAAAGCCTTTTATTACAAACCAACAGTCATCCTCATACTAAGTGGACAAACACTGAAAGCTTTCACTCTAAAATCAGGAACAAAACAAGTGGAGACAACTGTCTCCACTCTTATTCAATATAGTCCTGGAAACTAGCTGGAGCAATTAGACAAGAGAAAGAAATAAAAGGAATAAAGATAGGAAAGGAAAAGCTTAAAATGTCATTATTTGCAGAAGCCATGATACTCTACGTAGAAGACCCTAAAAATTCCACCAAAAGACTTCTAGTTTAAGAAGCAAATTCAGTAATATAGCTGGTTACAAAGGCAACACTCAACAATCAATAGACTTCATAAACAAGAATAAAAAACCCATGGAAAGAGAAATCAAGGAAACAATAACTTTTACAATAGCATCCAACGAAATGAAATACTTAGGAATCAATCTAATAAAGGATGTAAATGATCTCTACATTGTAAACTACAGTACTCTCAAAATGGAGATTGAAGAAGATATTTGAAAATGAAGAGCTATCCCATAGTCTTGGGTAGGGAAATTCAATATAGTGAAAATGACCATATTTCCAAAGCTATTGTACAGATTTAGTGCAATCCCAATCAAAACCCCATAGCATATCTGAAAGAATTATACAAAATAAATCCTAAAATTCATCTGGAACCAGAAGAGACCTAGAGTAGCAAAGGTGATCCTGGGCAACAAAGGAAAGATAGGGTTCATCAAAATCCCTGACTTGAAATTGTACTATAAAGGTATTGTGATAAAAAAAAAAAGATGTGGTACTGACAAAAAACAAAACAAACAAAAACCAGATGTAAAGATCAAAGGAACAAATTAGAAGATGGGGAAACAATCCCAGACCACTAAACCATCTTATCTTTGACAAAGGTGCCAAACAGAGTCATTGGAAGAAAAGCAGTCTCTTTAATAAATGGTGCTGGAAAAACTGGCTCCATACATTCTGAATATTATCTTTCAATGTGTATTAAGCTAAGATCAGAATAGATCAAAGATCTTATATTAAAACAGAAACATTAAATCTGCTGCAAGATAGAGTAAGTAAAACTCTTGAAGACATTCATGTAAGCAAAGTCTTTATGAAGAAAACTTCGATTTTTGAACAGCAAAAATCGAAGAGAATTAAGTGAGAATCTCACCCTACTGAAAAACTTTTTAACAGCTAGAAATAACTAACAGAGTGAAAAGACAACCCACAACGTGAGAGAAAATGTTTGCCAACTGTTCCTCAGACAAAGTATTACTATTGAGAGCATGAAAAACTAAAAAATTTCAGTCTTCCCAGATTTAAAGACCCAATCCAAAAATGTGCATCTGAGGTGAAATACACAGTTCTCAGATGAAGAAATAGAAACAGCAAATAAATATGTGATATAATGTTCTGCATCACTCGTCATTTAAGAATTGCAAAGTAAATAACACTGATATGTCACCTTGCCCCAGAAAAAATGCCTACTGTCAAGAATTGAAGCAATAACGAATGCTGGAGAGGTTGTGGGGGAAAAAGGAACCCTTCTCCATTGTTGGTGGTAAAGCAACCACTGTGGAAATCAGTGTGGAGATTGCACACAAACTAGGTCTACAGTTCCCACTCAACTCAGCTATTCTCCTTCTGGGTATCTACTCAAAAGAATAAAAATTATCATACCACAGTGATATATGTGCACCCACGTTTATAGCAGCAGTTTGTGGTAGCCAGATCTTGGATGGAATGCAGGACCTCTAGCTTGCCAGGCAGGTGCTTAAGCTAAATCCCTGGACCACTTTTTTTACTTTTTAACTTTCAAATAAAATGGGTTTGGGAGAAAAACCAAGGACTGAGGTAAAGACTTTCAGTGCAAATACCCATCAGACGTGCTGAGGTCAACATTCCAGAAAACAGCCAGCTCCAGAAGCCTCCACCATCTTTCATTGGGGATCCACAGTTACAGGGTGTTTTATTTTCTGCAATTATTCTTGGTGGGGAAGGCAGGCAGGAGAGCAGGAGCCAATCAGTGATGAAGAGGCTGGCTGAAAAACTGTCCAATCAGGCGGGCCAAGGTAGGCGGTGTCTTCCGGTGTCATGGCGTCAATTGCAAGGCCAGGGCACAAAAGGGAACACTAAATGTTTGCTAGACCACTATTTTTTGCTTCTATTCGCTGTGGACTGCTTAGAAAGAACCTGGGAGACCTCCAAACTACGCAATGGTGATGTTATGGGCTGGGAGCAGTGAAATGGGGTGGAATCGGGTTGAGACCAGTTAGAAGTGGTGAGAAGGGGCTGGGGGTTTAGCTCAGCGGCATAAGCGCCTGCCTTGAAAGCAGGCAGACATGAGTTTGATCCCCTGTACCGATAAAAAGGAAAAAGACCAAAATAAATAAATACATAAATAAAATAAATGAAGAAAGAAAGAAAGAAAAAGAAAAGGAAAAAAAATAAAAACAAGTGTTGAGAAGCAGCTGTGCTGTCTAGAGCCTGTGTGCTTAGCCTCAGACCCTGAGGTCCACTAGTGGTAGAGTGAGTCATCCTCTGTCCCTTTTAACTCTCGCTGCCGCCAGGACAGTTCTGGGTCCCTAGAATGCTGTCATCACTGTGATACCACCAGGCCACAATGCCATTTTTGAAATCGCCTGCTGCCCTTGCTCCTCCAATAGTCTGGGCCCAGGACGGGTCATGAGGAGACCCTGATTGCGATGTGTTTTCAAGCTGGGTGCAGCTGTAATAAGCTAGGTCTCTGCTCTCATTCCTGTCAGCAACAGATATGAAAGCCAGAAGTTTATAAATGTCTGTGCTGCAGGACCTGATAGCCACAACTGCTCTCCTTAAACTTATGCATTTATGTATTTTGTGATCGCCTGAATTTATACTATGTTCTCATATTTCCATGCTCATGAAAGGTGGAGGCAAAGGTTCTGAAAATTCAAAGACGTGTAGTGATGTGCCTCAGTGGAGGAAGGCTTCCCAAACACCGGACGAACTGCTGTGTATTATACAGAACAATGTAAAGAATTTCTGAACATACTTTATGTGACACATGTGCTCATAGACGATGTTTGGGAGAACAGCCATAGAGGTTTAAATTTTGAGAAAAATGAAGCAGATATAAAAGTGTCATCAAGGGCAGGGTAAAGTGTGCTTGCTAAGACAAATTCCAGAAAAGGCTGCCTGTTAAATTCTCACTGAAAAATGCCTAAATGTAGTCATTTGCATGAACATATACAAGTGATATCCTTCTGAATGTAAAGGAATGTGGGTGTCATCTCTGAATTAAGAGGTGATTTAATAGCTTGGTTGATCATATACATTTTTGAAATATGGAAATGCTCTGCAGTGGACTTTACTAAGTGGTGTAAAGGAGATGCCATAAATTGAAATTGTGCAGGGATATCAATAGTTTAGTCATGAAGGGTTTTCTGCTTAGGGTGGATCAGATGAGAGTGGAAAGGATGTGGAAGTGACTGTCAGGACGCAGAGTGCCAATAGCAGGACATACAACAGAGAGGGTCTTCCCTGAAAGTCAGGTAGTTCTAGGGTAAGCATGAAGTTAAAGTTGGTTTATGATTTCTTCCTTGAGGTGAAAAACACTAGCTCTGGTAAGAATCAGTATTCTACATCCTTGTCAACACATGAATTCTTTGTTCTTCACTTGAGATCTAATTTTGATTATCTCTAATTATGACCCAGTGTCATGAAGGCAAAATTTGAATTTTTTTGTAACAGGGATAGAACTCATGATCTCAAGCTTGCTAGGTAGGTGTTCATGCTGCTGAGCTAAATACCCCACTCTGAAAGTGTTTTCTGCACACTATGTATGATATTAACATTGTTCCTCAGAAATGTTGAATATTGTGGAATTTTTCTATATTGTATGGATATAATTTTTAAAGCAAACCAAAGGTGTCGTATGCAGTCACTTTTCAAGTTTCACATTGTCTGTGGGGTGTCTGAGTCAGGGTTTCTATATTTCAGACAGCTCTGTAACTTAGGCTCGCCCCAAACTCAAGGAAGTTCTCCTGCATCAGCCTCCCAAGATATATTTCTTATATCTGAATGGAGAGTGATCACTTGGTGACACTGAGCTATAATTTGAAACTTGTACCTGATTTCATTGTTTATACATTTTTAACATACATCAGTTTTCCATGAACATTTGAGTTATTATTTATGTATCATATTTGATGTTATTTATGCTTTGTTCTATGAAACCAAATTTAAATATCAAGATACTGCTTAAGCATATTAAGAGCAAAGGACTCAGTGGCCTAAATGAGATTTGAAGAGATATTACTGTTAGTACATCAAAGTGATTCATGAGATATTTGTCTGCCTCTGTGCTTTATGGATGCTGGTCCTGCAGGCTCTCACTATGAGCTCTGCCTTGGAGGCAGTGCACAGGGACTCTTGCGGTGACTCACCATAAGAATCAGTGCAAGAGAGGGAAAAAAAAGAAAAAAGAAAAGAAAAAGAGCTCTAAGGGGTATAACAGCAAGTGTGTTTAGGGGTGTTAAATAGCTGACTATATCAATGTTTTTGGATCATTGAACACAGCTGTTTGCAGTCTCCCTGTTTGAATGTCCACCTTGTATTCTTTGATACTGTGATTTGAGCAACTATTTTCAAGATGATAATATGTAATCTACTAACAAGTGATTTCTTACTGTTATGTTTTTTTTTTTTTTTTTTGTAGTTCTGTATTAGGTGTACCCTTACACCGCTTTGTTTTGTTTTGTGTTTTTCTCTTTTTCCTCTTTAAAAAAAAAAAAAGAATCAGTGCTCCTGTTTGGCTGGTATGTTAGCTGTGAGTTGCAATATAGCATCAAATTTGCTGTATCAAAAATGTATATATACAAAAATTAATCCCCAAGATGTGGAATAAAAGTTGAAGAAATCACTCTCCATTCAGCTGTTTTGTTTGGTTTTATTTGTGTAGTTTAGTTTTGTTTTATTGAGACAAGTTTTCTCTATGTATATCAGCTAGATTTGAACCATTTATGGAGCACAAAATTGCCCTAACCTCAAAGCAGCATTCCTGTCTGAACCTCTTGAGTGCTGGGATTATAGATCTGTGTGTTTTTACCCTAGAAAATATTGAGGCTTGTAACTTAGCTGTGTTGTAGGTTGGCTTAATAGATGCCATCTTGAGCTTTGCATTTAACTAGTGCCCTGTATTTCACTCAGAAAAATGGAAAATCACTCAGGGTATAAGTCCCAGGAGAAAAGCAAAATGAGCTGTACCAAAAGAAAAAAAAATAACCTGCTCAACAAAAAAAGCAGAATACAGTAGTCATGCAAAAATTATTATAAGATTCTAGCTAAATGATTTCCAACTATCTTTTGGTGATTCTATCTTTTAAAACATCTCTAACTTTCCAGTTCAGAGCCTCTTGTTTAGATCCTGAAATGGGGGTGCGGGTTCTGTATACAAGTGGTGCTGCTGAGAGCAGCTAATGAAATTCCACATTTCTCAATTGGGTTGCTTGGCTTCCTATATTATTGTTCACAAAATCACCTCAAGCTGCAGAAACCTTACTGACACAAGCAAACCTCAGGATTAAATAACAGTGCCCCTGAAATGAAAGAATAGTAGTGAAAAGCAGAAGAGAAAAAAGACAAACACCATGTGCTATAATGCCCACCTCTTTTCTCCAGCAATGAAGAAACTGAAACAGGAGAATGACCATATATTCAAAGACAGCCTAACCTACACAGTGAGTGCAAGGCTTCCCAGAACTCCAAAGTGAGACTATGTCTTTAAATCAAAAACTAAAATGAAAAAAAAAAAAAGCAACCAAGTAGACATAAAAATTATTAAAAACAAACAATAATAGAGCTGAGTGAAATTTGAGTTATGTAAAATGGGAATTATTGAATGATGTTGCAGAGGAAAGAAGTCCATGTAGTGGCATCCAGGAGGGAGGGACTAACACAGACTTAGGAATGGCACCTATTGTGCTACAGGACAACAGTGACCTCCTTCCTCCAAAACATTTGCAGTTCACTAGACTGAGGACTTCTAAAAGCTCATGGAAATGTTAAACTCAGGGCAAACAAGCAGCCTGAAATTCTGGCTTTGGCACAATGCCTTTAGCAGACATTTCATATTTAAATTGAGATAAGAGAAATATAATCCTGCCCTGTTTGATATCAAATGCAGCAAGTTTAATGGCTCACAACATTGAGAAATGAAGTCTTAAACCAAAAGAAGTTCAAAAATTTTCTTAGAAAAAAAGAAAGAAGAATAGCCCTGAATTTTCAGGAGTGGTCTTCGGGTTTTTGGCCCAGACCTATTCTCAGGGGTCATTTATACAGGAAAGTCACAATGTGGGTACAGTGTGGGTCTCAGACTACAATCAACCTATAAGCTTATAGCTGCTTAACTAATAATATTCAACAGGGGAACAAGTCAGCCAGAAAAGGTATTTGGAAAGAGCCAAGGCATTTTGTGGGAACAATAGTCCAGGTGTTCTGGTCATTGAGTATGGTAATTGATGCCCATCTGAACTTCCTGGAGGAGGTGGTGGTAACTGTAGTACATTTCAAACTGTTGTTTTTCTCTTCAGGACCATGTAGACCTGGTCACTTCATCTTCACCTTCAGGCCTGGCTTTCTTCAGCTGTGCCTGTAGCAGTGATTGTTGTATTTAGTTTTTTGCATTATCTATTTGAGGTTCCAGTTCCTCTCTCATTGTATATCAATTTCTCTCTACATTGATATCCTTTGTTAAAATCACAGTTCTATTTGAATGAATAAAGTGAAATATTCATTAATACAGGCCAGGGATTTATCTTAGGAGGCAGAAACACCTGCCTGGAAAGTGCTAGGTTGTAGCTTTGATACCTGGTACCTAAAAAAAAAGTAATTTAAACTGCAAGGAAAGAAAATATTTTCATTTGTGAAAATTAAGATTTACAAAATTTATCACTAAATATGTCAATGGCAAATTAAACATTGTTAATAGTCATATTTAGTATCTAAAGTAGTTGGGTCTGGAGATTGAACTCAAGGATACAAGGAGCTTCCTGGAGAGCACAAGGTCAAGAGTTCAATCCCTCATACAGAAAAAAAAAATCACAATTGTCAACGATGCAGTGCTATAAGCACATTTATTGAAACTGATACTTGGTATTTAATAGGCTCAATGTTTCTTTTGTGACCTATGAAATATCTGCAGATAACATGGGTATTACAGTGAATGATATACTGTCCC